AGAGGTGCTGGTCCTTATCACACTGACAATGCAGACAGGGGGCCCATTCTAATCAGAACAGGATGTGTTAGACATTTACACCTGATTCTGGCCTTTTCTGCAGAGGAAGCTGCTGTAGCTGGGGGTTGGCAGGAGTGATCTGAACAGCTCTTTCCTTAGGTCTTTCAGGGTCTCTCTGCATGCTCTCCCCAGCGCAGGTCTTGGAAGCCAAGCCCAAAATCAAAAGTTGGAACTTAATTAAAAGGACATTCAGGGTTATAATTTTCCTCTATAAGAGATGGTTTCTTGTTGCTGTTTGTGGACAGGGTAGAGTTTGAATTCAGTGGTGTTTCTTTTAATGCAAGCTAATTAAATGGTCACAAATCTGGTTGAGAACCACAGGCACTGTGGGTGGTGCACATTGTAATGAGAATACTATTAGTTTGGAAGCCAGAATACTTGGGTTCAAATCCGTACTTGACCAGTTCTTGGCATTATGATCCTGGACAAGTTTCCTGGCTTCTGAGTCTTAGCCTCAGAGGAGAGGAATGGATTTAATTCTCCTTATTTCACGGCATTGTTAGGAGGATTCAAGTAAACGAAAAAACATGAACCACAGAGAGCTCTGTAAAACTATGATATTAACATTGTATGCATATTCTGAAATGATATGAGTCAGTCTTCTGTTTTTAATATAACTAGCATGTTAAAATATGGAACCATGTGATAGGAGAATTGCGTATGTGCTATATTTGCATGTAACATATCATCATATGTTATCCAATATGTACTTTGTCATATGCAAATGTCACCGAGAATTGAGAAGGATGACTCTGTTTAGGAAGGGATTTTCTTCTAAGCTGAAGAGTTCTTTGAAAACTGAAACCTAATCTGTAAAGAATCCAAATGGTTAAAATTGCAGCAGAGAGGTTTGAGGTTGGATATTAGCAAGAACTTCCTGATTTTCCAACTATTTAGGGAAAGTTTTCTAGGGAGGACATGGTCTCTCCTTCCTGGAGACATTTAGCCGAGAAACTATCTTTCCTGGGGGGTTGGACCTCACTTCTGTCATCTAGACCAACAGGATGCAAACTTCCATCCAAAGAGAAAAGAAGTAAGTCAGGGAGTTGGGCTCTTTTCTAAAAGGAAAGATGAGAGTGACATGAAGAATTGAAATAATTTCTTACTGAATTGGGTTTATCCAAGTGTGAGAGTTGTGGCCGAAATATCCACTTTGAAAACCTTATCAAGTATTGATCAAGCTGAATTTGTATCTGAATGACTGTCCAGACTGTGATTTTTCTGTGGTGGTTAGAGAAGGTTTTAGGAGGGTTCTTTCACTGTTGATTCTCTCTGTAGAAGAGGAAGTGGTTTGTTAGATGCCCTTTGGGCACTAAATATCTGTCTCACCATTGAGTGTGGAGAGAGCATGGGGTGGGGGGGGGGTGTGCGGTGCACCTCAAGACCGGTTCAAAGAGCAGGGCTGGGCTAGAGAGGTCAGTGGAAGATTGGGGTCATACCAACCACAGCAGGTAAAGGGGAGGATGTGGGGCCCCACTTTCTGCAAACCGAGGAAATGTATTTGACTAGAGCACATTTCAGAAAGATGTACTTTGGGGGCTTTGAGTGCTTATTAGAGGCTTGGGGGAAAGGTAGGCAGGACCATTCAGCAGGGCTATGTAGGGAGACCAAGAATTTGCTCTGATGTCCAGCAACCAGATAAAACCTGACTAAAGGGGTCTTTTAAAGTCTAATACAGCATGCCAAAGAAGAAGTTTGGTGCCTGCCTCTTTTTGTATACATCCAACTCTTTTTCAAACAAAGGTAAACATCACCAAATGTTGGGGATGATGGCAGAGGGTGAACGCCAGAGGAAAATGTGGCTAGGACACTTCTTACTATTCATATTTATTGAATACCTGGCATCTGGCATACAGTACTGCATCCAATTACATGCTTGTTGAAAAGATATCGCTCCCTTCTCATTTAAATAGCGACTATGGGCACAATTTTGGTGTAAAGATACAAATTATAATTTGTTAAAATGGCTCTACCAGATACTTGGAAGGTAGGCCATTGTCACCACCTCCATTTAAAAGCACACAGCACCAGCCACAATAAATATTTAATACCCTGTTTGGGAAGACTAATGAATACACCGTTGGCACATATCGATGTGCAGGACATTAGAGGCATCCAGTTCCTCCATTTATTTTACAGATGGAGAAACTGAGGTCTGAAAAGGGAAAGGGACTTGCCCAGGCATAAGTTGCATTATTTTAATGACTCAGGGTTATCGTGACTGCAAACAATTCCTCAATCTAATGGTCCTTTGCTGTCACTATAATATTAATGAGCCGTTCTTTTTAAAAGAGTGACTCACCAAAAGCAGAGCAGACTGACCAGCAGCTTTCGGGATGGCACTGCAACCTTCCCACCCCAACCACAGTCGATTTATATCCAGTCTGTGCCACAGACCACTCACATTTGGTCCTGACCTAATCAGGATGAGATAAGTTAGTGCCGCCGCTTGGCACCGCCCTCTAACCTGCCATGGCTACGGGGTCTGCTGCATTATCTGGGGACCCCTCCTCTTCTCCTTCCATCTCCAAGACCGGCCAGAAAAACTCAGGCTAAAGAGACTGACCCCAGAGGTGAGAAAGAAAAAGAGCTAATTGGGAACACAGGCATCCTGAATCCCAGTCCTTTATGAATCTGAAATTCATAAAGGATTCCTTTGAATTTGAAATTGGGTGGGAAGATTGAAAGCTGGAGTCATTGCCTTCTGGAAGTGCATTGCCTCTTTGTTCCTCTGTGGTGGCATCAGAAACAGTGAGTTTTGGGAGCATAAGAAAGGTGAGAGAGAGAAAGGCTTGTGTGTTGCCTGTAAAAAAGAGTTCCAGCTCCTCTCTAGTAATCAACCAAGGGAAATGCTGAAACTTCCAGTTCCCTTGGATTGGTTGTTTCTCACCCCCGGGATTCACAAAGTACCTACAACTAGACAGGTAGACGGAGCATTTGGCTGGACCTCCTGGCTCCCCATTTACTCTGGAAGGTAGGAGTCAGGACTTGTGCTGCCTCAGATGGCAGCTGAGATTCCCTGCCCTTTGGGGCCACTGATTTGGGTTGGGGAGGCTTGGAAGGCAATCAAGAGCGGGGTCAAGTAGGTCAAAAATTCTTTAGCATGGGAGGAAGGCACGGAGCAAGGTGGCACTAGGGTCTAGCAGTACTTCTCAAACTTGAATGTGCAAAGAAATTACTTGGGGATCTGCTAAACTGAGATTTTGATTCAGTTTGGAGTAGGGCCTAAGATGCTGCATTTCTGACTAGCTCACAGGTAGTGCTGATACTGCTGGGCCATAGAGCAGTGAGGCTCTTAAAGAACCAGAGCCTCAGAGGCCCCTGAATATTGCAGACCAAGCTGTGATCCCAAGATGTGAATTCTCTCCAGCAGAGCAGATCCTACGCTTTTGGCATTGATGAAGGGTGCTCTCCTTTTGACCAAAGAAAGCTGGAAAGTGGGCAATTAGCAAGATCCTTCTGGTATTCTTGATCTTTGTAACAACCTGTTATAGCTGAAAAAGCATTTTTAATTAGACCAAATTATCCAGTTTGGCTGTCCATAGAACTCAAAGCCCCAGCTGAAATGTCTGTTTCATTTTGTTAGTGTGGAAATGGCTATGTGCTGTGACTTTTAAAATGTTTAACACTGCCTATGGGCCTATTTTATGGAGAAATAAACACACAGCCCAATGATATGTATAGTGTGGTTTTAATACATTGTATATTCACTTATTTATGAGGAAAATAAACACACAAGCCAATAAGCTGTGTATTATTACTTTAATATATTGAATTTATTTCATACCTATATATTTTCTGAGGAAAAATAAACTAATAAGATACACGATATTATAATAACACATCTAATTGTTCCATATTAATTTATTTATAAAAGAAATAAGTGCAATTTAACATGACATAAGATTATTTAATGCAGGAGATAAATTTTATATTAAGACAGTTTAAGGGATTAAGTTTCAGCTGAATAAGATGTGTGTACTTCCTACACTGAGGAACCGGTTTTTTAAAAAAAAATATGCGAGGGCTTGTCTAGTCCTATCTGTCACGACCTATGCTGGCTCCTGGCTTTTCCTTGCAATTGTTGCTGGTCGGTACCTGGTACTCCAAGTCGCGGTCCTGCTGGTCCAGGGGAAAGCCTGGGAGGCCCAGGAAATGAACCGATTTCAGAGACCGGCAGCATCTGCTAGGGAGGTAGCCCTGCGGTGTCTATTTCTGAGCCCGAGAAATATTAAATAAACCTAAGGAGGATGGATTGCTTTCCAGGGCCCTTTAAATCTCCACGTTCCCTGGAAGAAGCCAGAAGGCAGATGGGGAAGATCGATTCTTGCTTCCCGCTTACAGGGTTTGCAAGTCGCCGGCCGATGCGGTGGGGGATAGGAGATAGCGTTGAGATGGCAAATGAATTTGTTGGCAAAGACAGGTAGGTCTGCATTTGGAGAAAGCTCTGGCCAGGCTTCAAATCCCAGAAGCGAAGGATCAAAAGTCTGGGCCGCCGAGGCGGACCGGGGCCTGCAGAGCCGCCGCGTTCCCTCCCCTTCCCACTCCCTCGCGGACTCTCCGTCCATCACGCGCCCTCTGCATCCGTTGGGCTCATTGTTTAAAATAAAACAAAAAGGTAAAAGGAGGCTCCCCGATTCCCTCTTTTCACTGTCGACTGGACGACCCAGAACGGAGAAAGAGGGTGCACGGACGCTCCCGCGCGAGGAGCCCCGCGCGCCCCGAAGCAGCTGTCATGGCGGCCGCCAGCGCTCCCGCGCCCACCGCGCCACCCGCCCCAGCGCCATTTTGAGCATCCTCCTCGCTTCCCTGTCTCCCTCCCGCACTCCTCGCTCCTCCTTCCCTCCCTGCGAGCCAAGGGCCTGCCGGTGCAGCCCGGGCTCCCCGGGCTGGTCGACCAGCCGCTCCTCGGACATGCTCCCGACCCCTAGAGACCCTGGACTGGCCGCGGGGGCGCGCGCCTTCCACCCGGCCTCCACCGCTGCCCACTCGGAAGCCCACCGCCCTCTGGGGCGCCGGGCCGTGCTTCCCGAGAAAAGTCGCGACCCCACTCCCCCGCTTTGCCAGGCCGTGCCTCCGGGCCTCGAGTGCCCAGGCTTCCTGCGCTCCGGCAAAAGTCCCTCCAACCCCGTCTGGGGCACTGTAGCGAGAAGCCAGGGAAACCCCAGGATCCCTCCCAATTCGGCTGCACCTCTGTGCCGCCCAGCCCCGCCACGACTCCGCAGCCTGCGTCCCATGCCTCCTCTCCTTGCACCCCATCCTGCAGACAGCACACACACCCCCTGCACCGGCTCCCAGCAGAGACCCGGGAACACCCACGCAGGGCCGAAGGCCATCTCTCAGGCCGTGGCGACGTGACCCAGCTTCCAGCAAACCTCCAGTCTTTTCTGAGCTGCGGGGACAGAAGCGGCGGCCAAATGGGGCCATTTTTGTACCACCCGGGCTTACCCGGCCCAGGGCCAGACAAACCCCGGGCGGGAAGAGAAGGAGTCTGGCCGGCCTAGGGGCGTCGGGGAAAGGGGCTGCGTCCCAACAAAACAGTCGTATTAGTATGATAAAGACATTTATTTAATCTATGAAAATAATGTACAATAAATACTCTCCCCTTTTCCTATTATTAAAGAGTTTTAATAAATAATCTACGGTCTAAAACTTAAAAAAAAGAGGAAAATAGGTTCCTCTAGTTCTTTTTAAAGAAAGCCCCCCTAGAGTTTAATTATTCCTGAGATTTCGTTGGAAGGAGTCTACCAAACGGAATTTTTCTGTGTGATTTCAAAAAGACGCACCAGTGCCCAAAATTTTAGAGAAGAGAGGAAATGGATTAAACGCTAATTCAATAACACCTGAATTTTAGCAAAACACATAAAGAACTCTAAACCGCATGGGGGGTGAGGGATCCCGAGGGGAGGGTTCTGGGGGACAGGAATGCCGCGGGGAGGGGAAGGTTAGGGGAACTGCAGGTCGATGGCACAGAGGGTGCTGGTGAACAAGTCCAGCTCTTCCTCGGAAAAGGGAACAGGGCTGTCAAGCGAGCCCTGCAGGCTGGGGGAGAGGCCTCCGGACAGCTGGAGGCAGGAGTCGGCAGCGAAGAAATTGAGGTCGGGCAGAAAAGGCGAATCCTGTCGCTCTGGGAAGGCGTCTTCGCGCGACTGTTCTGGCTCCAGCCCGCCGGCCCTGCGCAGGGCGCAGCTGGGGCTCGGCGCTCCTACGCCCTCCCCTCGAGAGGCCAAAGCCGGGGCGCCCTGGGGGCATGGCACGACCTCGGGCGGGTGAGAGCAGGCTCCCCGTGCCGCCCGCATGGTGGAGGGACTGGCCTCGGGTTCCCGGGCAGTCTCGCCGGTGTCCTCTAGGGCACCCGGGCAGGCTGGCTCCCCATCGGGCGGTTCTCGGTGCTGCGTCTGCCGCTTGTGCTTCATGCGCCGGTTCTGGAACCAGACTTTGACCTGTCTCTCGGTGAGGTCCAGCAAGGCCGCGATCTCGACGCGGCGCGGCCGGCACAGGTACTTGTTAAAGTGGAATTCCTTCTCCAGCTCCAGCAGCTGCGTGTTGGTGTAAGCCGTGCGCAGTCTGCGCGCCCCGCCGCCGGCCGCGTCCGCCAGCCCCTGGCTATCTGCTGGGAAAGCAGACTGGGCGTCAGAGCGGGCCGCCCTCTCCTCCCAACCTCAGCTCAGCTGAAATAAAGACTACTCCATCCGCCGAAAATAGTATTGGGTCGATGGCACAGCACCCCTTCCTTTCCGCCCACCAAGTCGGCCCTCTCTCATTGCTTTTCCCTTTTCTCCCCGTCCCTCTCCCTCCCACAGCCGGCCCGGGTCAGGGCAAAGCATTCAGAGAGCCGCCCACGGGCGACGCAGGGGTTAGGAAGCGGCTCTCCTTTGCTCCAAGAACCTCAGAGTCCGCCACCCCCCCCCCCACAAGTCTTCCGACTGGACCCCTTAATTTGGACTCCACCCGGGAAGAAGGTGTATAAAGAAGGACTGTTCCTCACCTCCTTCCCTCCTAGCTCTCAGATTCTCCCACTGGGGTAAGAGCTGGGGGAAATGGGACCAAATCTTTTCCTGCGCCCAGATTCAGTCCTAACAACACACGTTCATTCCTCCACACACATAAAGGTCAATCGAATTCTTTTCTCCAGGCAGAGAAAAGGCTCTTTCCCAACAAGCTTACACAATCTGCGGTAGGATTAAAAAGAAAAATCTGGCAGCGGCCAAGGCCTGCACCCCAGCGATCTATTCTGCTTCCTCGTCCCTGGAATCAACGGGGCAAGGAACCCCAACAAGCTCGCCACCTTTCCTTCCTCCCCCATCGCTCTTTCTCCCCCTCTCTTCTAGCTGCCCCTCACCCACCCAACCCCTAACCCGTGTACCGACCTGTGGGCGAGCTGACCCCGGAGGCCGGGATGGAGGAGGCGGCCGGAGGAGATGTGGCAGATTGGCTGGGTTTCTTGGCGGATTTCTTCTCTTTCATCCAGGGAAACTCGGGGGCCAGGGGGGCGGCGGGGAGCGGCGGCGGCGGCGGCGGCAGAGCGGGGCCATCTTCGGCTCGCCTTTGGCTCCCGGGTCTCTGAAGGGTGGAGGCGCCGGGCTGGAGGCTGGGGAAGGTTTGCTCGAAAGGAGGAGGAGGAGGAATTAATGTCGACTCCTTGATTGATGAAGTTTGAAATGTCTCCAAGACAGCGGGGAAGGAAGTCAGACACTCGGCGAGCGATGGCTGGCTGTTTATAAACCCAATCTCCCTCTCAAATTCAAAATTCATGGCTTTCAATGGTGGGGGAGGGGGCCTGCTGGGGGGGGCGTCAGGAGGGAGGATCGGAAGGGACCCCCCCTCCTGCCCCCCCCAGGTTTATGTGATGGAGCGATTTTGGGAGGGGGAGATTTCTCCTTCTATCTCTTTTTTTAATTTTGGGCCTTTATAATTGTATATTGCTGATAAATACAAGCGTATGGGGACTCTCTCTATTAAACCCAGGACTCCGGCGAAATTGCAGGGAATTCGTGGTCACGCGACCGGCCTTGGCCAATCGCTTGTCTGGGCCTGGTGGAAAACAGAGAGCATTATTTGCTTTAATTGATTCAAAAACTCTAGAGGACCCCAACCTGGATACCAGGAGACCCCCCAGTCCTTCACTCCCTCTCCCCAATACCTCCCTTTCTCCCGAAAAACTAGAGAAACTTTCCCTCATGTCCTTCAGAGCATGAGAGGTTCCGGGAGCCTGGAACACAGGAGAGTATAGGGAGAGATTTTCCTCCTTTCTAAATATTTTAATAGAGTAAATTAATGCTTTCTGTACATGGCAAGCAGCACCCCCCCCCAAAAAAAGGGAAGGTTCTTAATGTAGCAGGAAAAGGTAGTAGAAAGAGGCTTCCCCCCTTTCAGAAAAGTCAGCGTTAAGGTGCAATAAGGAAGAAAAGAGATTTACAATCATCAGCACCACTGTCCCCATCCCACCCTCCAAAAGCAACAGATAAATCCTGGAAAATCGACAGACACTCCCAGGCTGACACAGAGGAGTGAGATCGATGGCGATGGTGAGGGGCCCTTTTGGGCCTCCGGCCTCCATAGCTGTGTGGTCTCGGTTCCCTTCTCTGCGCGGTGTTTGCCGCGCTGTGTCTGCCCCTGTGTCCACCTGCCTTCCTCATCTGACCGCCTCTGCGTTCCTCTGTGACACCCACCCTCCAATTTAGTTCGGGTCTAAAATGTATTGCACTCACTCAAGCCTTAAGCTTGTATCTGTGTCTATAATCCAGGAACGGGAACAAGAGCCAAGGTAGCCAATGATTTATTTAACTTGGTGCACTCTCAAAGCTCAGGTCCATATGTGTGTGTGGGGGGGGGGTCCTCCCCTAGGACAAAGAGATGTCCCTTCCCGTTTTTGTCATTGTGCTAGTAAAACAAACAAACAAAAAATCACTCTCAAGAAAGATTTCTCTGAATATGGAGGGGATGGAAATAATGACTGTTGAGATGATATTCCTTGTCTGGCCCTTGAGGGAGTTTTTTGTTTGTTTGTTTGTTAGTTAGTTATTTTTAAAAGAATTGAGATAGTGTAAACTTTAGGGAGTGCTATAATTTACTGGGGGGGGGGAGGGGGCACAAGACTTGGAGCCCCAAGCAATTGGTGGGAAACCAGGTCTCAATGCAGAAAATGAAAAGTCGATCTGGGGGAAGATTTTTAAATAAGTGGGTCAGAGGGACGGAGAAGAGATGAGGCGATCAATCTTAGCCCCCTGACAGCTCCCTCCGATGGCATCAAAGAATTTGGCTCTTTGGGAAAGCAGAAGGAACAGCCGAAATTCCACATCCCTTTAAAAGGCCTGGGGGTGGGGGGTGTTAGCACAAGAGAAAGGTGATTCTGGGAGATCGGGGAAACAGATGGGAAATGGGGACAGAGGGAAGGGCGCTGAGTTGGGTGGAAAGTTTGTCTGCAGAACTCCCGCGGCTCTGGCCTCCCCTCCCCCTCGGGCTCTCAGCTGCCCAGAAGGAAGAAGGCTGGTTAGCAGAGAAATGGCAACTCAGCCGGGAGCTGGAACTAGAAACTTTCTGTCAATGTAACAGCCGCGTGGGTGGTGGTGAGTATTCATCCGCGTGGGTGGTGGTGAGTATTGAAAAGGGACAGAGATGCCTGAATGGAAGGGCGAGGGCTGTAGGGACAGGGCGGTGGCAGACGCTGGAGGGCTCAGAGAGAACTGCTATGAACTGAACAGAGTGGCCAGGGTCCGTTCTGTCCAACTTAGCTCCAAAGAAATCAAATGTTACCATTTGCAGGTGTGGATGGGGGAGGGGCAGGAGAATCCGAGTAGTGGTTTTCTGGAAGTTGCTCAGTGAGGCCTGAGAAGGGGTTCTCCCTCGGCCACCCACTTGAGAAGCCCTGGAAGTTTTGTGTTTTTTTTTTTTTCCACGAGCTTTCGAGCTGGCTGCAGGGTCCAGAGCTTCTCTCCGCAACAGCCGGCTAAAGCTGTCCCTACAGGAAATACGGCTCTCCCTAACCCTGCTGACAGATTTTACTGCCAGATTAGAGAACAGCAGAAAACTTGGGTGTTAAAAGGGGCCAGCAGATCCTCCTTCCCAGAGACACCACTTCCCCGCCCCCCTGTTGTGCTGTGAATCTTACAGCACAATATTTTCCCCATGACTTTGGCTGCTGAGCTAGCCCTGGAATCCCGCAGAAAAAAGGGTGGGAGACACCCAGCTTCGTCGGCCCTTATTTTTCTGGTTTGCCATTCCAGCTTTAAGCCAAAGCTCTGTTTTTCAGACTCGAGCTGAATTCTCTCTCTTGGCCTACACCTCTCCTGGCCTACCTCTCTCCTGCTAAATAATCCACTGCACCCCCAGAACCAAACACAGCTCTTCATCCAGTCACACCATTCAAAAAATGTTATTCAGAGAAGAGGAAGGGGGGGGGAGAAAAACCCTTGAGCGTTATTTGATCCCAATCAAACTTTGCACGCTCTTATGCCTTTAAATTATAGCCTGACCCAATGCTAAATTGCTTGCTGCTTGGATGCGCCGAGTCCAGTTAAAATCCTACAGGGTGGGGTGTAGAACTCAGGTTGCTTTTTTATTGTTATTTATTGTTGCATAAAGACTGTAATTACTAACCTTGGACTGCCAGGATGCAACATAAAAATGAAAATCAGCCCTCGCTTTAAGGCTGAGGGCCTGCAACAATTCTCAACGACACCCCCCCATCACTTCCACCAAATATATGCTCCTAATTAAGAAATGCGGGCGCATCGCTTACAATTAGAATTATGCAACTCTTCAGCAAGCAGCCATCGCTTCCCTTTCAACGAATTAGCTCCATATTTCAGCCGCCCCGTCTCCTCGCTCTTATCGACTCCAGCGACGCAGCGGTGACATTTCATCTTTGACAGACCCTCTCTATCCTCGCTCCAATGTGATAAAACTTTTATAGAACCACGACGAAGAAATGAAGTTTTCCCAAGGATCGTGGAAACAGCCACACATTAGCCTGGGGACCATTTTATTGACGCTTGGATCCAACAGCTTCCCTCGGCCTCCTCCTCTCCCCCTTTCCCTGGCAGGGAAATCAAAGGCGCCTCCACCCCCAGTTTTATTTAGTGATTTAATTTCACTTTGGCTTTAAGGTTTGACCTGAGAAGTCCAGGCCTCAGAGGTTTTTTTTTTTTTTCTTAGATTAATCATTTTTCTTTGTTTTCATTTTAGACCCAATGGTGGTTGGGTTTCAGGTCACGTGACGACTGTTTTGTAGCTCCGGAAGAGAACCGTGAAGTTTAGGTTGCCTGGAAGGGGCAGTGATCGGGCCCCTTTTTGGTGGTGGTGGTGGTGGTGGTGGTGGTGGTGGTGGTGGTGGTGGTGGTGGTGGTTGTTGCTATTGTTGTTGCTGCTGCTTACAGGGGATGGGGGAGGGGGCAGCAAGTTGTGGCCAGAGGAGCAGGAAGACAAAAGGTCAATGAATGAGAAAAATGGAGAGTCAAAGCCGCCAAACAGAAAGTCCTAGAGAGAACACCCAAGAGTCCTTCCCCCCCCCCCTCGCCAACTCCTAACTTAAATTGTATCTAAAGAACTTGGCAGTGTGTTCCAGGGCCCTGTGAGAAAAGCTATATAAACAGGAGACACGGCAAGGGGAGGCAGGCGCACGAGCAGTGGACAAAAAGGCCAGGACAGCGCCTTCCGTGTCCTGTATCCCCTTGGGGGAAATTTGGCAGTCAGCTGCCCCCCCCTCTGCTATCTAAATTGGACCACCAGGACAAGATAAAATTGATAACAGAAAGTTTATTCAAGAATTGTTTGACAGACAACCCTTTTAAGTAAGGAAAAAAGTAACTACGGAAGAACAAAGAAAGTTCCAAGAGGGAATTAACTCTAATTCTACAAATTCAGGACTATACAGTGACAATTAGGAGCTGAGTTCATGCCTTTTAGAACTAATTACAATTGCTCATAAGTACGAGTGTAACATAAACCTACAGCTCTTTTCTAGAGTACAATAATAACTAAAATAGCTGGTTTTACATGACAGGAAACACGTCCTTTATAACAAGTAAATACTAAAAAAAAAGTACAGTTTTTTTTCCTTTTTTTCCCTCATATAAATACATAATGTAAGGGGATAAATAATACAAAAAAAAAAGAAAATATTTTAACAGGCTATGACCAATAAATATATATGAAAATGTTCACTAGAACACACACTTTTTGAGCGATGCTGGACTCCTGCAGGCCCAGGCATCTCTCACAGTTGTTTTTATATCCATTAAAATGTAAACTCTAAGTGCAACAAAAGTGTCCTGTCAGAGGGCTGCACACGGCATACAGGCCCAGCTGCAGCCCCTGCCTGGGACAGACAGTTTGTTAAAATATACCCTGTTTTCACGTTAAGTCAAGAGAGCAACAGAAGAAAAGAAAAGTGTAGAAGAACCTCGTGTCTCCGATTGCTTTCTGTGGAAGGAGCGGGATGGACCTGGAGCTGAGTGGGAGGCCGCAGAAAGGGCAAACCTGCAGTCCTGACAATTTGCCTGCCCTCACCTCCCAGCTTTTCCATAAAAGAAAAAATATATATATATTTATAATATAGACAGCTCTGACTTTCAAGATCTCTCACCATCCCTGAGCCCTCTGAAAACTGTCATTGATGGGGGCGGGGTATGGGTATTCATGTCCTGGAGCAGAAAAATAGGGGGCTGGAAAGGAGTGCCCCATTCATCTCCGATAGATGCGAGGAAATTCGAGGCTTCAGGGAAGTGGGAGGGGAGCGTGCTTAGTGCCCCTGGTTTTGAAATGTTTCCTAATTCTTTTTAGAGGAGAATTGCAAGGGGGGAAAAAAAATACCCAACAAGATTTGGGGGAATTACCCACAGAGACGGAAGGTAAGTTGGTTGGTTGGTGATAGCCTAGCCATCTTGCCTGTTTTTTTAAAATGTGCTTCTCTGCCTTGTTTTTCTTTCTCCTTCCTCTACCCCACTCCCAAGCGTGGAATTCCAACTGGGTATTGCTGGAGGCCTAAGGTTGATGGGGTCATCGTCAATCTGCTGTGGACTCCTTTCCAGTGGGTTGGCAGGCAAATGGAACAAGAGCTGGAGGATTTTAAAAAGCAACCTTTCAGGCCAGGAGGGGAAGGAGCTCCAGGCCTGTTCTTCCCAGGAAGCCTGGCTACCACTTCCCTGCCTCCTCCTGCAGCCCTCCAGGTTGCGCCTCTAGGCTGTCCCCTTGACCTCACCCCTCCGCCCTCCCTCTCCCATTACAGGTGTGTTAACTTGGGCGCTTCTTGGATTCTACCCTGAGGAGGAGGCGCGTGGTGAGAGGAGAGGTCTGTGTAGGTGGGGTGGGGGTCGCAGGGTCCGTGGTGCTGGCTGGGGGCCATAGGGGGCGCCCCGTTGTAGTCCAGGTTCCCCGAGGGGTGGTGGGAAAGATGGTTGAGGCCATAGAGGGAGGGGCCGGCAGGGGGCGGCAGCGGATCCGCGTATCCGCCCCCGCCCACGTACACCGGACTGCCCTGCATAGTGGGCGTCCCGTAGGCGCCCCCGTTGGCTTGGAGGACGTGGGGCTCGTAATCGGGCGCCGGCGTCTGGGGGTACTTCTGTGGGGCGCCGCAGCCTTTGAGAGGGGGCTGGTAGTTGGAGGACAACGCGTAGGCATTCTGGTGGGCTTTGCCGAAGGTGGGAGGGGACGGGCTCTCATAGCTCGGGGTCATGGAGTGTAAGGCGTTCATGAAGCCGGCCGTGGACTGCATGGGCTGCGGGGGGCTGCCGGCAGGGGAGGGGCCCCCAGACGACGAGGCCAGGCCCTTGGCTTTCTGGTCTTTCTTGTACTTCATGCGCCGGTTCTGGAACCATATCTTGATCTGCCGCTCGCTGAGGTTCAGCAGGTTGGCCATCTCCACGCGGCGCGGCCGGCACAGGTAGCGGTTGAAGTGAAACTCCTTTTCCAGCTCCACCAGCTGCGCGCTCGTGTATGCCGTCCGCGCCCGCTTGGACGCCGCAGACCCCGGGGGGCTCTTGTCCCCTCCCCCGCTGCTACCGCCCCCGCCACCACTGCCTCCTCCTCCGCCGCCACCGCAGCCCTCCGCTGGATCCGAGGGGGAGGGGTGGGAAGAGGAGAAAATGAAATAAAAGATAATTACTGAACACGCCGAAATTGAATGCATCGTTTCTTAATAAATCCAGGCCTGGACTCGGAGCCCTCTCCGCCTCCCCTTCCCATCCCCGCCTCCTCCTAGCTAACCACTACCCCCCCACACACACCCGTCGCATTAGCGGACACTCTATAATAGTGGCATTTATTAAGAGACCTGTTCTCCTCTCGCTGCCCCAGCTTATGAAAATTTGATCATGTCACGCAGACAGAGCCACATGGCCATTTATTTAGGGCTGGATGTTCCCGAGCACTTTTTCTCCCCATCCCCAAGTCCAGGTCTGGGAAGACACTCCCCCACTTCCTGCCCTGTCCTGTGGACCACGGTGGGTGGTCAAGGAAGACCCTTGAGGGAATCTGGACATCCGTGGGCAGGACACGGGAGTATGGCACGAAGAGGCTGCCGTGCCTGGAGGCCGGGACCCGGGGCAGCCCGAGCGATTGTGATTAATACCCACAGTAATCATACTTAATAATAATCAATTGTTGGCGACTCTGCGTCTACCAGCAGCGGCTGCTGCCTCGGAAGACCTGAGGCCCAGCGCCCGGCCTTCGGGAGCTCTCAGGAGGTCCAGTGGAAGGTGGCTGGAGGGAGAGGGTGTTGGCGGGGTCAGGGGTCATCAGGTGGTGGGAGGTGAGGGAACCGCGCCGCCGCCGCCGCCGCCCGGCACCTGATATTGTTCCCAGGCCGCCGCCTGGGCGCCTAGGAGCTGGGTGCTACAATAACAGTGACATTCCTCGCCCGGACAAAAGCGAACGGTGAGGAAGGCAGAAAGCTGGTACCTGTGCCGGGGGAGCTGTTTTTCAGCTTGGACGTCTGCCTCGACTCTTTCATCCAGGGGAATATCTGTTTGGTGAGGGTGGAGTTGGAGCCAGGACCACATTTGGGGGGGCCGCTTTTGCCGGACCCGCCCCCATTGCTGCTGTTGCTAGTGGTACTGGTAGGTGCTGCGCTGGGCGGGGGTGAGCCGGGCGGGGCGGACAGGGGCTCAGGGGCCAGGCCAGGCCTCATGCAGCTGCCGTTGAGCTCCTTGCCCTTAGCATGCGGGGCGGCGTTGCCCAGGGACTGCAGCGAGCATGCTGAGCGCTGGTAGTCGCCCTCCAGGTGCGTGGCGGCCTGGAAGGGGGGTTGGGGGGCACCGTCGTAGCCGAAGCCATTACTGCCAGGGTATGAGGAGTAGCCTCCGAAGAGTGCAGCTGCGGTGTTGTCGTAGTAGGTGGCTTTCTGCATCGCTGGGCGAAACCCGGGCAGTGGGTGGCAACTTGCAAGGGCCTGATACCCTCAGGACCAGACATTGGCACCCCCGGGGGTCACGTGAGGCGCCGGACCCCCCCTACCCTTTCTGCCCCCCTCCTCCCGGGGTCTGTTCCAAGCCGCTGACCTGCGGGGCGAGAGAAGAGACACAAGGGGGAGAAGAGGACTGGGGCTCGAATCCATCTTAGGAACTGAAAAGGGAACTGACATCAATAGGGATTTTTCTTCTCCCCCACCCCAACATCTTCACAGCAGATGCTGAGGCCACTTCCTGACCTGAAATGGATTTTTCTTATTTCAATGCTTTCATTTTAAAGTAAAAACCCACCAGTTTTCATTTCCACTTAAAAAATAAGGACTGTACTCCTTTGGGGACTGGCTAGGTATGACTTCTTACTGGGAGGGTCTTATTGCTTTCTCTCCTGCCTGCACGCTGGCCGCTGACCTCTCCTCCTCCCTCTCCCTATCTCCCCTACCCCAACTCTTGAGATAGGGCGGCCCAAGAGGGGGGAAACTGGGAGACTCTAATAAAAGCATCAACACTCTTCTCTGAGCTGAGAGGCCTCCTGCCTCTGTCTCCCTCCATGTCCATCTAGGTCTCTCTCATGGGAGCGGAGTCTTGCCTGAAGGAAAAAACAAATCTCCGAAAGAGACAGAAAGAAGCGCAAGTTGAGCAGAGAACCTTCTTGTATAGGGGATCGTCTCCTTCTCCTTCCCCTCCCACCTCCCGAAGACAACAGCGGCCTGACCTAGAAACTTCCTGAAGACTTTGAACCTCCAGAGCCAGAGGAACCGAGCCTTTCCCCAGTCCCTGCTGCAGGTCCCACCACCTCCAGTCTGAGTCTTTGCTCAGCCAAGTCTGGGGCCAGTCAGCCAGCGGCCCCCACGGAGCCCCCAAACGGAGCAGGGCTGTTTCGATTGCCCTGACTAGGCTCGCTGGTGCTGTGACCATTTGGCCCAGATCTCCCCTCTCCTCCATTTTTTTCCCCACCCTTTTCCTGACAGTTTGTTTCCTTTGATTTCTTCAAAAGAAGAAGAAAGAAACTAGATAACTGCTGGACTTTTCTACCAAAAGATGGGAAAAAGCTTTCTGAAAGAGAAAACCTCCCTAGGAAAAAAAGAATGTCAACAAAGCAATCTGAACAATATTATTTTGGGGGTTGGAAACAGGGTACTTCTCTTTACTGAAGTTCTCTAAGGCAAAGAAAGAAATAAATACAATCATTCTTTTTGTGCAGTCTTTTCAAAGTGTGCGGGGTGGGGGGCAGGAATAAAGGTTGAAGCTGTCATAGGATTTTTGTCTATTTCTTCTGAAACTTCTGGCTTCATTTTCCTCTCCCCCTCTGTCTTCACCAATGTCTCACCATCACTTTTTCATGAAACCTCCAGACTGGCCCTCTCTTCTGACATGTGAGTTCAGAATATTTAAATCTCATTCAGTCCAGCTGGCCAACTCCAAAGAAAACTAAACATAGGACTAAAAATAGGAAAAGAAAAGGAGTGGAGGTGAAGGAAATCCCTCCCACACATAAATCCCCTTCTTAATGGCACAGATTTATACTTAAAAGAAAGCTAAGGTGGCCTTCAATTCCGATTGGTTTCCGGGAAGAATTTGTTTCTGGAAAATACACACGGGTCTTCAAAGCAGCAGGTCCTTTCAGGGAGAACTGGAGTTCAATTGACCAGGCTGACCCAATCCCTTTATTATTATTATTACCATTAGCCTCTGATGACTTAACCAAAATTAGCTTCGGAGCAGCCTGGCTGAAGGGGGGATTAATTAATAGGCATCAGTTGAGTTTGTTATTAATAGATAGAAGAATAAAATAAAAACGTTGGTGGGGGTTGGCTGGCTGGGCCCTGGCTTTATTCAGGCTAAATAATTGTTACAGCAGTGATGGTGATGGTGATGATGATGATGATGATGGTAAAATAATAATTTGAATAGATGCCCGAGGCCGAAATTTCTGTCGCTCCCCCTGCAATAAACCCGCAAACCATCGCAGGACCAAGGCCAGGAGAGTGTGGGAAGCGAAGGAGCCAGAGGCGAGATAGGAAAGAATGGAGACTCAGCCGCCGCCGAGAAAGGGCCCGGAAGGTTTGCGGACGCGCTTAGCCCCTGGCTGCTGCCGCCGCCGCCGCCGCTGCCGCCGGGCTGTCTCGGCCGCTGCTGCCGCGGTAGCTGGCGACCAGCTATGCTGCCCCAAGGTGGCGAAGAGAAAGCGTTCAGGATGCCGAAACGGTTAGCGATGGCAGGTTCCAAGCGCACTGGGTTGAGGGCCCAGCCCTACGGGCGGCAGCAAGTTTGGGCGCTGGAGGTAACCGAATTAAAAGGCGCTTTAGCAACTCCGCTCCGGGACTTTGCCAGGCTGAGCTGGAGGGCGCCGAGGCCTGTCTGCCGGGACAGTGAGAAGAGGGAATGGTGCCCGAGGGGGATCCGGAATCTTGGGATCCAGGAGAAGTGGGGGTGGGGAGCAGCTCTACCAAGCCAAACATGACTATTTCCCTTGCCTCCATGTTGGAAAAATCCAGGCTCCATATGGCTTCTCCGGAGCTAGACGGTGGCTCCTGGCTTCCCCCAGGGTCTCGCTGGAGTGAGCCACCCCAAGAACCCCACCTTGCCAGGCACACTCTCGGAAGAGCCAAGGAAGCCCCGGGAGAGGGGATAGGCCACCTTCCAGGACTTAAAAAAAATTTTTTTTAATGGAAAGAAGAAAAATAAAACAAGAAAGGAAGAGAAAGGTTAGGCTCTTCTTAGCAGCCGGAGAAAAATTCAGCCCTGGATCTGGCTGCTGAAAGAAAAGAAGAGAAAAGGAGAGAGGCAGGAAGAGAGAGGGAGGGAGAGAGGGAGAGAGAGAGAGAGGGAGGGAGGGGAGGGAGAGAGAGAGAGAGTCAGTCGCTGCGTGGAAGGAAGCTTAAAGCTTGTGAACTCTTCTTGAACCGAGATTGGAGTCATATGGGCCATAAATCATTGAGACATACTCTCCGCCATTCACAAACTGATAGCCTATTTTAGTCCAGCTTACCTTAGCCACCGACGAGGGGAGAACAGGCAGACATAATATATATTCACATCGAGCCCCAGCGCGAGCGGCAGGCGAGAAATCTCCCCTCCTTGAAGGCAAAGGAAAAAAAGACCACTGTTTAAAGCTGCGTCGCCCCCCCTCCCCAATAGCCACCCCGGCTGGGGAGCCCGAGGGGCAGACCGGCCGGAGGTGCCGCGCGGCGTCCGCTTCAATTCACTCGGCTTAGGAGCGGGGGTGCGCGGGAGGGAGGGGGTGGGGAGCGGGGGAAAAACAGAAGACCGAAAGGTGCTCGGGCTGCTGGGCTCGCCGAGAATCCAGCTCCAGGCTCCGCCACGGCCAAGTCGCCACAGTGTGGTTGCCCTATAAGACTGGTACGCCCTACTCTCCGTAACAATGGCCTCTGCTTTTGCACAGGGAAAAAAAAAAAACCACACAGACACACACACTCACACACACACACACACACAAGCTCACATACACCCCCCACCTCTCCCCCTTTAGCGAGCTTAGATGCCTGATAAGGAGGGAAGGTGATCGTGGTATTGGGGGAGGGGGGATTTTTAACCCCTCCCCAAAAAAAGAGTGTGTAAGAAAAGAAGGTTGAGAGGTTTGGGTTGGTTTTTTGTTTTTGTTTTTGTTTTTTAGAACAGGTAAATTTTTAAATGGAGATTTTAAGCAGGGGAGGCAGGGGGAGCAAAGGCAAGGCAAGCCAGTTGGAGTCACAGCTCCCCCCGCCCCAGCAGTAAGCCATTATGCTAATTGAGAAGTAGCTGTTGGGAGGCCTAGTCAAAGGCACGTCTTCCCCGGGGTGGGGGTGCTGGGTGCCCCATGCATTCATAGGCAGTGGAACACTAGGACTTTTTTTTTTTTAAGTAGTTTCACTCCTCCGGGGACTAGTGGCTGGGTCTCCTATGCTCTGACTCCCTCCATCGGAGTCTCCCAATCTGTTTCTTCTCCCCCCACACCCACTCAGTTCTTCCCCTCTCCCCACAAATTTCCAGGCCCAGTTTCCAACTGGTAGGGGGGGAAGGCCAGATTTTTTTTTTAAACAGCCCCTCCTTTTTGAGAACAGACAACAAGCGGTGAGTGACGATTTTAAAACTCCAGACCATCTTGCAGGGGGAGGAGGGGGGAGGAGAGGGTGACAAAAGGAGGACCCCGTGTTTAGCTGGAGCTCAAGACTGGCGAGCGATAGAGTCTGTAAGAACTTCCCGGAGAAGTTTCTGTTACAATTCTCACCTCTGGGTGGGCAGGAGGGGCTAAGAGGTGATAAGGATATTTGTACTTCTAAGAAGATGTGAAGAACTAGCAAAATGGCTTGATTTTAAACGCGCCGGCAGAAGGGACAGGGTGGGGGGGGGGTACATTTTGCTGCCGTGATGGTCATCCTCATTATTATTTCTCGGAGCAAACCTGGTTGTTTTCTGAGCTCCACCAGATTATGATTCTTGGCAGAAGGGAGGAAGACCACAGAAGCCAAACTTTTCTTAGGGCATGTTTGGGAAGGGCAGGAAAAGTGGAGGAGGCCTGTGGGCGGAGGGCCGGAGCCAAGAATGTAGGTGTCTGCAGATTTGGGTCTGGGGGTGGGGAAGTCATTCCCAGCAGAAGAAAAAGGCAAAAAGAGCTGCAGGACGTTTCCAAACGCTGGAGTGTTTGAACTCGGCCTAACTGCTGACTCGGGGTTTAGGAGACAAAATAAAAAGCAAACAGTCTCTCTCTCTCTCTCTCTCTCTCTCTTTTTTTCTTCTACAAAGCCAGCTTGGAAAACTTGTTCTCTTAACTTTTTGTAGATAGAACCAGCCACTACTCTGTGGCCTCCTGGTTAGAATATTTGGCTTTTGCCTTCTCCTATCTGGATGCACCAGGAGAGACTGGACTGGGTGAACAAAGGTGAGAGATGGTTTCCAGCTATTGTCTCCCTTCCAGGAGAGGGTGGTCGTGTCTGGCAAAGCTTCCCTGATACCCTGTGTTCCTTACGCACGGGCTCTGCTTTGGGCTGAGGAAGGGTTCTATTCTCATAGGAAGTGGTCCCTGAACTCCTTTGGCTCCCACTTCTTCTAGGGCCCCTAAGTCAGGCTTCCTAGGGTCCTGCTGAATTAGGGGACAGGGTACGCATGACCTCCGCACCCTCCAGCAGTAGGAACCACAAGGAGAGCTTCCCACTGTGATGTCCCCAAGGATCCTACCACCCGCCTAGAGAGTTGGTGGCTTAGAGAATTGGGTGGGAGTATATGAAGATGGAGAGTGTGAGCCATTTTTTTTCTGTGTTTATTAGTAGTATTAAGAAAACAAAAGGAAGGAAAAGAAAGGAAGCCCAGATCAGACAGTGTTGGAACTCACGCCAGGACCCTCATAGAGAGGGATGAAGGCTGCCTGAGTATGTGGCTGCAAGGAGTCCGTCCTGAGACCTCTAGTCCCTGGCGAGAGACCGGCAGAGTTGGACTCTAGGAAGCTTTGTGGTTGGTGGGTCAGGGACTGGCTCCAGGGGGTGCTTCCAGAGGCTTAAGGGAACCAGCATCTTTGGGTCTTTTCTCTTACTCTCCAAACCCCAAAAGCCAAGAAGTTACCTCAGACCCTCCAGCTCTGCTCGCTGCTGCTAGAGAAGGTCGTCAGGAAGCGGACAGAAGAGAAGAACCTGGTTGCATCAAGGAATAGAAAGACAGCCTGGAGGACGCACGGCCAGCTGCAGGCCTGCAAGCCCGCAAGCCCGGGCTGCGGGCGGACCTGGCCTGGAGCTGAGCTGAGGGTGGAGGGGCTTTCCTGGGGCAGCATTGGGCCCCTCCCCTCCTGGAGCCTCCTCAACTCACTGTGGTCCCTTTTGGCTGTACCAGGAAGTGGGGCACAGTGGGGTAGAAGCAAAAAGAAGTAAGGAGCAAGAAAACTAACCTGGAGACACATTTCAGAGGATATGCACCCCCAAATGTGGTAGGAGATGGAGTGGGACCTCTTAATCAACTCTGGAGCGCAGAGCACATTTGAAATGTTTGGGAGGCGATTAGAACCCATTTTGGTTTATTTCTTATTTTTTTTCTTCCCTTCTCAGAGATTTCGGGCTGGCCGGTTGCCCCTAATTGGGGCTAGGAGGGTGGGGGTTGTGGATGGTAGAAGTGGCAGCCCTGGGGGCTCCCATTTCGTTGGAAGTGTGGATGCGGGGTAGGGACCTGTCCAACTTCAGGGACGAAGGCAGGGCAGCGAGGAGCTTGGGCAGAGAGCTTGGGGTGGGAGACACCAGAAGTGTCTGCGGGAAGATTTTGGAGTGTGCAGAAACGGGAGGAGAGGGTGTCACCACTGCCAATGAAGTTGTGGTTCAGGGGCAGGCGAGAGAGAGAGGAGAAGGAAAAATTTCTTCCTGGATTTAAGGTGGGAAACTTAGCAACTTTGTGTGTGTGTGTGTGTGTGTGTGTGTGAGAGAGAGAGAGAGAGAGAGAGAGAGATATTGAAAAAAATGGGGAGAAAGATGAAAACACAGAGACCTTAGTGTAATCTAATAATTAAAGGCAAAAGTTAATAATAAAGGTAAAAATTAGAGAAAATGTCCCCCTTCCTAGGCATTCTTTTCTCTCTGGTTCAGTTTCCAAAAAGCCAGAGCGCTCTCTTTGGGCACTGGCACCCCCTCCCCCACTCCTACTCTGTACCCAGTATCAGGGGACAAGAAGTGTTTTAAACTCCCCTGAGAGCTCCCTGGCTGCCCAGGCTCCCAGGCCTTTGGGGGGGGGGGGTGTTCCCCCCCCCCAAATCCATCAAAGAGCAAACGAAAATTCCCCTCTCAAGAAGCATACATTGGCTGGCTCCTTTAACATTGATTTCTGATTGTCAGCCTTGGGGCGAGCGAGGATGCTGCCCCTAGCTCAGCCTGCCCCAAATCCCGCCCACCCGCGCGTGGGTCCTAGAGAAGCTGGGACCTGGGGCTGAAATCAGCCTCTTCACGATGTCTCTTTCTGGTCTGGTCTGGGTTCCCAGACCCCCACCCTCCTAGCTTCATTGCCCAGTCCTGTGGCAGCGGCAGACCCATGTAAAGTTCACACACGCACACGAATGAATTTCCATCTCTTCCTAAATATTAATAAAGGTTTTCAAGCTGGGGGTTGTAAAATGGGAATTGCTACCAAAGACCGCTCCTGGTGTCGGATCCCCAAACCTGCCTTCCCCCCACCCTCGGGATGCGGGAGCAGACGGGAACAAAGGGGCAGCAGCGTGGAGAAGATTTGGCGCCTCGGCAGAGGCCAGTGTAGACCCGGCTCAGCAGCAGCCGGGATCGAAAGAACAAAAAGGCCACTGGGATTGAAGAAGAATCATCCAAACTGTGTTCTCCTCCAATCCAAGCTGTAGTCTCCCCGCTACCCCAAGCGGCAGGATGAAAGGGAGGAAGGAAAAAAAAAAAAAAAAGGCCGGCCATGGGGATGTGCAAAGCTTCGTCCGCGACCACGGAGGCCGCCTGAACACGCTGATGGGGTTGCCTCCGGCCAAGTTGGGAGTTACGGGCTGGCGGGATCCTGGCTGGCTTAAAAGGCCCTTTGGAATCAGGGGTCCCGCCTCATCTAGAAGCTCAGTCCCGGCCTAGCAAACCCCGCCCCTGGGGCTGATGTCCCGAGGTCCAGACAAAGGTGGGCGGAGTGGGGAAGGCAAAAGGGAGAGGGGGGAACCCAGCAGAGCTGGGTGGAGGGTGCTGGGGAAGGGAGGGAGAAGTAGGGAAGAGAGGACCAGGGGCCCAGACGCTGCGAGTGACTGCGCAGGTCTCTCCTGACAGATTGGATGTCTCTCTCCCAGTGACCTCTGTTTAGCAGACAATAACTCACCGGATTAATGACCAATCAGCGGAAGGCCTTCCAAATTGCCTCCAAATATAAAACTCCAAAGTCAAATGGGATAGGGCCAGAGTCTGAACCTGCCAGTCCCCTATATCCTTCCCCTCTCTCTGTCCCCCACCCCTCTCTCTCTCTCTCTCTCAAAATAAGGTTTGGGATGAGGCCTTAGGAAGTGGATCATCTGGCCAGAGACTCTGATTTTCAGTACCAAGACGAAGTTGTTTCCCATCTCTTCCCATGTCCTCCAGCACAACTCAGCCACACGTCCCAAGGCAGTCTGGCAGCCTCCTCCTGTCTGCCTGGACTCCCCATAGCCCTGATTCTACAGGAAATCTCCCCTCTCATAACCATTCAAATTCTGAGAAGCTCACACCCCTTTTGAATTTTATTTTCCCCCAGTGGGGGGAAGAGATGGACAATAAGAGCAAGAATGGACGTGGGGTCACCCCCTTTGCAGGTCTCCTGTGCTGGCTGCCCTTGGAGGAGGTCTGGTGTGGTGCTGTGCCCCCCACCCCCGTGGTCGCCCTCTCTCGGGAAGAGAGGGTCCAAAGGCCCAGGGATCAGGGTGAAGCTGGGGGTGGGTAGCCTGCCATCATGGAATCTAAATTCTGAAACCACAGTTCAGTCCCTGCCTGGCTGGGGTAGAAGCTCAAGAACTGCATTCTGAACACCTCCAGCCCCAGCCAGAGCCTGGCAGGAAGAGTGCCTTGTTCTGTGAGGTCGAGCCCTCCTTCCAGAACCACGCTCCATCCAAATGCCAATTCCAGCCCAGCCACCTAGCAAACCCCACTCCACTGCCTTCTGTTCCCATGGCTCTCAAGGGCCTGGGCTTCTCCTCCAACCTTCAGGAGGAGGAATGGCGTAGACTCCAGTGGGTTTCCTGGAGCCAGTCCGCGTCACCATCCACTGCTCTGGGCAGGTACCAACACCCTGTATAATGCAAATCAGCGTGCAGTGACTACTGCATGCAAGGCAGCTGCTCCCAAGCCCTAGAGAGTTCCTCCAGGTCAAACCTGGAAGAGCTCTGGGATTATCCTGTCCACTCCTGCCATTGTTACAGATAGAGAAACTGAGGCCCAGAGTGGGGAAGTGACCTGTCTTAAGTCATCCTTGAGATAGGCTTGGGAGTCAGGAGCCTTACATCCTAGGTGTTCCTAGGGTGGCCGTGTGAGCTGAAGCAGAGAACTCCCTGGGCTGCAGGGTACTCTTCTGTGAAGCCAGAGCGTGTGTGAAGGGGGGTGGGGGGTTGGGCTCAGTGATCTTCTGAGGTCCCTTGTTGGACTGGGAGCTTGTGGTCGTCTGTGTGCTGATGTAAAAGGGGAAAACAGTAAGCAGTAATGACAGACAGAGTTCAAACAGTGACGGGCACCAACGAAGCCCAAAGCAGGGCATTTCCTTTGGGGATTTAAATGCTTACACCTTCACTACTGAACACCAACCCCATCCTGGTCTTTCTTGCCCACACAGAGGCTCATGCACTGGCTTTTACTGCTCTGCAGTTTGTGTGTGTGTTGGGGGGGGGGGGTGTTCTCTACCTTCATCACCAAGTCAAAAGTGCTGTTTATGGACACAGAAACCTAAGCAGTAAATAATTAATTTGTATAATTAGAGGAGGAAGGCTTCAACCTGGCAATTTTTAACCAGGAGTCAATGCGCCCATTGTACCAGCCTGGCCTTCTCACCCAACCCCCCCAGCTCTGCCCACATACCTACCAGCTTTCCGACTGCCTCCCCCCAGTTGGAGACCAGCGTTCCCAAGATGGCCAGCAGGGTTCACGGAGTCAGACTCTGCTCCCTCCCCACGAAGTTCTGTTCCCTGCTTGCTCCCCCCCACCCCCAGAAATCAGCCTGCTTGCAGCTGCCCCTCCTAGCTCGCTCTCCCTCCCCCTGAAGCTGTGCAGGGCTCCAGGTTCGGGCTCCCTGCTCTTGGGACGCATGTAATCCACCTCCCCAGCTCAAGATGGCCCAACAATACAGCGAGTTTGCATTTCAAGAAACTCCCATTAATATCAATTTACTTCACTGAAACCTCGGGTTCTTCATCAAGTTGATGATTTATGATAAAATCAATTAAATTACGGCCACTTAGGGCCCAGCCGCTTCCTCTCAGATTTCATTGGTGCGGGGCCCAAGTGTCTGGTGGAAAAATGCAAGTTTAGCTGGAGGCGAGGAAAGATAATTCTGCGGCTGAGAAAATTTAATGCAAAACAATTTCCAGGCAAAGCCAGGCGTCTGGACAGAAATGCAAGAGCCACCAGTTGGCCTGCGGAAATAACTATCTGGGGGTCAAAATCTTTTTCTCCCCACCCCCACCGTCCTGCTCTGTTCCCCTTTGTGCTTCCCTTGCCCCCCTCCCCCTCAAGCAGGGACTTGGGGGAATTTGAGCAGAAATGGTGGGACCCAAGCCTGCCAAGGCCCAGCCTCAAACCACGGTCTCTCCTGCCGTCCCGGGCCCTTTCCTCCTCTCTCCCTCCCCTTCTCACACAGCTACTCTCACTAATCCCTTAATCTCCCAGGGCAAAGTTAAAGGTTCAAGGTGAACATCAGGTGGCGCGTGGGCAGATGGCACGGAAGGGCCAGCGCCCCGGTCAAGTAGACTCTGCTGCTCGTGGCCGTGGGAGGAAAGAAAACACAGGCGGAAGCAAGCAGCACCCTAGGGTGAGGGCACAGAGCAGCAGAGTGTGTCCAGAGCACCAGGACCTGAGAACACCCAGCCCGCTCCCAGCTCCCTGTGTGCCCACTCACAAAGCCACACTGAGCCCGACAAACCCCAACCCGAGCACTGACGTGTACACAAACACACCTACACGTGTGCATGGGTGCACACTCTCCTTCTAGCTCCCACAGACCCACCACATTCTGCGCCTGCAAAGGGACAGTTCCCACCACCTCCCCACATCTGAGAAAATAAATCCCAGAAAATCAACCTGGCACTGCCTCCTACTCCAAAGAGAGGGGCTTCTCCCGCCTCTATTCTGTTTGGTGTTTAGTTTCCAAAGCAGGCAGGGAGTCAACACAGCTTCTCTGAAGCCATAAATCACCCCCTCTCCTACCTTCTCAGTTTAACACCAGCCTCAGCGCAACCCCTTGTAGTTTCAGCTTCAAATGACCCGCAAGGTGCTAACAGGCTTGGCCATGCTGGCAGCTGGACTGAGGGAGCAGGGGGCCCAGCTATGCTTGCCCCCTCCCCAGCCGATGCCCCTCACAACCCCGGAAAGCCCTGCACGGCCTCCTACACCCTTCCTGAGAGGGCAGCTCCCCCACACTCCGAACTCCGTTCCTGTCCACGTACCACATGCACACCCACATTCCTCCACACTGCCCTGCACACGGGCTCGTCTACCCCTGCAGCCCCCACTCTCCTCTTAGGTTACCTTCACCTTTGTCTTCCACGGTTTGGATCCAGCCTCTTTGCTGACCCAGGAGAGAGGGGAGAAGGATCCCCATCACCCTGCTCTCCACCCCAAGCCCACCCCGGGAGCCCTGGCTCAGCACCCACACTTACCTGTGCGTCCGTCTCCCGCTAGGGCGCAGGCCGCGGCAGGCAGCTGAGAACGGGGCGCGCGCCCGGGAGCCGACAGCCAGGCCCGTGTCCCTCGGCCCCGGCTGGGGCTCTGCCGGCCGAATCCCGGTCATTCAGACCCTGGCAGCCCCGGGACGGCAGGCCAGCCGCGGGGAGAGGCCGGGAAGCGCTGCCGCACCCGGCCCCCGCCTCCGCCCTGGGCTTT